GAAGATGGTAATGTCATTATTCCTGTGACCTGTCCGGGCTTGATGCTAATGCTGATGGTACTGGGAATGCTCATGGCAATGCTGATGGTACTGGTAATGGAATGCCATTCACCCATTGACCTGTGGTAGCTTTGCGCCTTGTGGCCTGTGGCAGCTTGAATCGTAATGGCAATGCTAATCCTTGTGGCCCTACTAATGGTACTGGTAATGGTCATCTACCTTTGACCTGTGGTGACGCTAATGGTAATGGGCCAATGGGAATGCTAATGGCAATGGTGATGGGATGCCGTTCACCCTCTAGGGGGCCTGGATGCCATTCACCATGCTAGTGGGAACAGTAAGGGAGCTTGATGCTGATGCGAATGCTGATGCTTATGGTACTGGGAAGGCTAATGACAATGCTAATGCTGACGCTAATAGCAATGGTCATTGGCCATTCGCCCTTGACCTGTGGCAATGCTATGTGGGACCTTGATGCCATTCACCATGCTCATGGGAACTGTAACGCACTTGATGCTGATGCTAATGGCTTATGGTACTGTTATCACAATGCTGATGCTGATGCTAATAGCGATGTCAATGCTCATGGCAATGCTAATGGCGCTGGTAATGGCCATTCACCCTTGACCTGTGGCAATGCTATGTAGGACCTTGATGCCATTCACCATGCTGATGGGAGCCATTTTCCCTGTGACCTGTGGGAGCTTGATGCTGATGCTGATGCTTCCGGCGCTGGGAATGCTAATGGCAATGCTAAGCAATGGGAAAGCTGATGGTAATGGCAACGGTAGGGGTATAATGGCCATCCACCATGTGACGTGTGGCAATGCTAATTGTAATGCTCATGACAATGCTGATGGAATGCCGTTCACCCTCTGAGGCGACGGGATAAGTCGAGAACCCAACAGTTTATGTGAAATTTAAGACTTAGCCTTTCTCATGTTCGTTTGCGCGCCAAACAAGAGTTAAAGTTCGGCCACTCGGGAATCTTGCGGGGTAAACACCCATGAAACTTATTGAATATATTGAATCCATCTGCGACCACGTCCGCCGCCATAGGCGCAAGACATGTGGACCCCTCGCCCTCAGGGGAACTATTCCGGCTCGTCGGTGGACTTGACCATCCCAGACTCAGTGATCCACATTGAGAACGGCGCCGTTCAGGGCTGGTTGGCGAACTTGAGCACGCCAGAGTCATTGACCCGAACTTGGCAACCTTCCCAGACACAGTGACCCACATTGCGGATGGCGCTTCTCAGGGTTGCAGCTCGTTGGTGAATTTGACCATTCCAGATTCAGTGCTCCATACTTTATACTTATATATATATATATATATATTGCTTTTGAAGGTGTTCATCAAATTGTAGATAAAGAGACGCCGTTCGAGCTCATCCAGCAGTTCTAGGCCATCTTGCCTGTTCTTTGGCGCGACCAGATTGATGCCAACTTGGCGCTGCATAGGGGCGTGACACAGGGCCGGCAGGGCTCACACCAACCCTTTTCTTGGACAACGTAATGACATCGCGCAGGGCGTATGAAGAGTAATGGGAATTTTGGACGAGGACACTAACCCTCTACGGTAGAGGCTTTCGCTAGTAGGCTGACGGCCATCACTATTGGGTTGGATGCCATTGCTGTTTTGTTAAAGGGCTAAAGGGCATCGCTAGTAGGTTGGAATTCCTATTATTAGCAATTGCAATGATAAAGGATGTCCCGCTTTGCCGAAAGTCCCCTGCTTGCCGAATGGCAAGGGAGGAGTGGCGTGGGACCTTCAAGGCCGTGTGGTCTCCTAAAAGGAGACCATGCTGCTTCATTAGGCATGGGGCCTTTGAGCAGCCGGCCTCGGAGGCTCCAGCGGCAGCGGCGCTGCCCCCTCCTAAAGAAAGACACAATGTAGCCGTGACACGAGTAACCGCTTTTTTCGTCGAGAAGCCGCCGGTTTATGACCTATCCTAGGCCCGTTGATATGTTGGCACGGTGGACGAGGATTTAGTGGTATGGTTGATTCTATATCCTCCCAATCAATCTTTGAACAGACGTCTACCAGATAAAACACAAAAAAGCCAAGTCGTTGACATTGAGGAGCTGGTGGCCCGCCCAACGCTGGAGACGGCGCGGAACTGGCAGGCCAACAAGCCACAGAAAGAAGAGGGCGGAATGTTTTTGTCAACCAAATGCACGCATTGATCAGGGCACAACAAGCGGAGTATGCGACAAGTGGAAGTATTACAGACTGTTGTTTGCAGAGCTTCGCAGAGATTGTTCATGATAGTGGCAACCCTGCAGGGTACGGACATGATTTTGGAGTTCACGGAAGATTTCTTTGCATTGTAGTTGTTGTTGCCGGGGGTTCGCGCTAACCCTTTGTTTTCGCCGCCTTCGCAGAAGTTCGTGGAAGCTTTGGGGTTTGCAGATGGGAGTGTGAATACTACACAGTTTCAGTCCACTTTTGGTTTTGCTCCCATCGCCTTAAGGTTGGAGGCCATTGCTAGTAGGTCGGAGGCCATCGCTACTGGGGTGGAGGCCGTCGCTACAAGGAAAGGAGGCCATCGCAGAGCCGTCGCTACTTGGGTGGAGGCCATCGCTACTAGGAGGCCCTTTGTACTGGGGTGGAGGCCATCGCTACTGGGGTGGAGGCCGTCGCTTCGGTTAAGACTGTGGAACCAAAGTTTGGTTGCTTGCAGGTGCACTCCTCGCGCTTGCCTTTGACGGCGGGCGCTTGCGGACGGCTGTGAACAACATCGTCCGCAAGCGCCCTGAGCTGAAGGGAGGCCGTGGGACGCTGGCGCCACTGCGGACCTGGAGCGGATGCTGGCCAAGCCACTCCAGCGCAGGCCTGATGTGAGATTGGGACCGCCTCAGCTTTGTGCGCGAGTCTACTGCGTTGTGGTGTGGAACGATGAGGTTTGTAGGTCTTCCTGGGTGAGACTTTGGACCCTTCAATCTGGGCCCCGGACCTTGAGCGCGTCCAAGAAAGATTTATCTAGGCTGCAGGCTTCCATTTTTAAGTGTGGTGGATGGATAACCAAATGGAAGGATTACTTGAAAAATTATGTTTCGCATCACGGCATCGACGCCAGCGCCAGGTCGGCGGCTCCTGCTGCACGAGGGTGCAGGGACAGGCCTGACATGTTTTCTGCGTATCCGTCGACTAACGGAAATCGAGCAAGCCAAGGTGTATTGTTGCTGTGGGGATAACGCGCTTGTGCCCCATAGAAAAGGGTAACGAGACAAAATGGTGAGCGCGCGGCGTTTGCACTTGTTTTCAACATCCCGTTTTCCTTTTTTGCAACATTGACTGGTGGGCGCCCCTGGCAGTTGCCGTAATCCCAAGCAACCTCTCAGGACCAACATAGGAATATATAATCAGCGGCAATATGCTTCGGTTAAATGCGTTCCCAACCAGAGCCGTTTTGGCGACGCAAGAAACGCCAAGTAGCTGAGATACCTTTGTTGCGAGCCCCCCAGCTTTTTGCTTCTTGATGACATCTCTTTTTCAAGCGTTCTGTTTTTGCATTTGCGCCCAGAACTTCGTTCCGGAAATCCGCCCTAACGGATTCCAAATTCGATTGGAGAACGGACCTTAGCTAGTCAAGACATGTTCATGTCAGACCCCTTTGCGCAGATAGCTTTCACGCATGCTTCAGAGCAAAGAAAACTTGCGTCTGTTTTCTTTTCTTTTTTTGGGTCACCTTTCACTCTCACGCAATGCTTTCGCACAGGCTACGTTCCGATAACGTTTGGCTCAAGGTGCGCATGTGTGTGAATACCTTTGAGTCAAAGGTCACCTTTTGGTGTTAAAAGCAGGGGGCGTGAGGGTTGATTTCCTAGTCCCGCCAACGACGCGATGGAAATGAACTGGATGGAAGTTTGGTTTCTTAGGTTTTTTACTTGGGCTGGCATGTGGCAAACCGCAAATAGGTTCTGCACGCATTTCGCGAGTGTGTCTGGCTTCGTGCCAGCCCAGGGTGTACACGAGTGTTCCCTGTGGCCTTGCCGAGCAAGGCTTTGTCTCACTCTCGCCGTCGGACTCGCAGCGAGTGTGCAGAGGTCAGCTAAGACTTGACGACGTGGAATGACTTTTCAACCAGCTCTCAACGCCTATTCTGTCCCGGCCTTATTTCACCTCCCTCTTTCCCATGCAGCCCCACTATACGTTTTTTAATTTTCTTTTCCTTTCCTTTCCTTTCATTTGCTTCCTTCATCCTTCCTTCCATCCTTCCATACTTCCATCCTTCCATCCTTCCATCCATCCATCCATCCTTCCTTCCTTTCTTCCTGCCTTCCTTCCTTCCTTTCTTCCTTCCTTCCTTCCTTCTATCCTTCCTTCACTCCTTTCTCTTGGGTGTCTTTGGATGCAATGTCCAGACACCCTACAGTATTTTTTTATGGTGTGTCCCTGGATGTGTTTGTCGCAGCTGGGAACACCTGCCCCCCCCTTTTCTTTCTCCATCTCTTTCTTCTTTTTTCGCTTTCCTACACGGGTGTCCCTGGATGCTTACATCATAGCTGGGAACCCTTCTCCTCCTTTTGGTGTGTCCCTGGACGGTACAATGTTGTCTAAAGAGGGTGCGGCGCCCACAACGGTCAGTGTTCGAGCACCACGAAGCACTGGCAGGGCGCGCGCGTGTAACTTCAAAGAACAATTGCACATCGCCATAGCGTTGCTGTTGCCCCGTGAGCAAAACAAGGACCGGATTTGACCTGGAACCCCTTATCCCTTGCCAGCCCACCCCCAAATGACTATTGCAGTGGCTACCAACCTTTCTTCCCTGTGATTCGCAACGCCCAGCAACACACATTGTCTCATTACATTGACCCAACCTGCCCCCACTTTTTCAGGGCAAGACAAAGATCCAGATTTGTTGTATTGAAAAAACAACCCCTTCCACCCGCCCCGAAATGATTCTACCCAAGCACCGGAGATGCTTTTGGTAAAAAATACAATCCGAAAAACACGCATCGATGTGTTGTGCTGTTTGTGCTCATGCAGCTTCAAGGTGTTTAGTTTCAACACGGTGATCTCTGCTTGTGAGAAGGCTCGTTTGGACTCGTTGGTTTTCGAGAAGGCTTTAATATATAAACGCGATCGCTTCACATGGATCGTACGATGTATCTCATTTGGAAGTGTGCAACCTGTGGTAAGTGACTTGAGTGGCTAGGCTTTTTGCTGGGACTTGGCCACTTGGATTACAGATACGCTGACCTCGACCTCTCCGTTGCTTGACGCATGATTTGATTCAATACAACCATGTTGATCTCTGAGTCAATATTTCCTTTAGACCCATTGCAGGCATTGAACTTGTTGGCACAGTTGATGGTACTCAGCTCGAGAGGCCAGTGGCAAATGCTGTGGACCATTGAAGTTAGACTGAGGCTGGCAGACGGCTTTATCCAGATGCAATTAGTTTCAACAGCACCACACGTGCTTTGACAAGGCAGGGATTTTGAGCTTTATTTGATCTCTTTCCAAACAGTTTGTTGCGAAGTTTACCGACATGGCTCTGTGGTCATGATTTGGAGCTTCTGCAAGGGTCAGCCATTGGCAACTGGGGTTGGAGCTTCTAGGCTGGAAGTATTGCGGAGGGCGCATTCTTTGGAGCCACGCAGTCCAGGCACAGCTAGACAAGCTCGACTTGAGCTGAATGTTCACATCTTGGAGCATCGAAGATGTTTGAGACATTTTGAGACAGCGCATCCCAAAAACCTTTAAGATTCATCAGAGTCTTATTTACAAGCATGCAAGTTGTGATTGCCATGACGCCAAAGGCCACCAGCAGCTTGATGATTGTGTCTGCATATGGTCGTGGGAGCTGCTGGCAGGGTGCGTTGAGGGCTTTGATCCTGAAGCCGCCTCTTCACAAGCGTCGGACAATTCACTACTATATGATTTGATCAGAGCTTTTCAGCTGAGGTTGTGTGAGTTTGCCGCAAACTCAGCGAGTTCGAAGAGTTCAAGACCAAATCGACCCTTCGACCCGAGGAGAGATTTCGACTCATCTCTCCGGAGATGAAGGTGCAACAGCAAAGCGACCATGCCACGACGCCGCAGAACCTTCGGAATGCAGTAATCAGCGCTTGCGAGCAGTCGAGTCGATGGCGTGAGGCTGGAACATTCAAAAGCAGCACATCATGACTCATGCGAACATAGAGACGTGGAGAAACTCAATTTATTTCGCACTTGTTGTGAAGGCAGTTCGTTTCTTCTTTGCTGCTGACTGCGGAGAAGGCAAAGATCAACGGAGACAAGACATCCTGGATGAGGCCAGTGCAGATGTGAATCTAGGTCCCCTTGAGCTCGCATGTTTTTGATTATGGCCGGTCTTTCATGTCTGAGGTGTCTTTGAATACATCGGTGAGTTCATGTGCCAGCCAGAAGCACTGGGAACTATCCATTCAAATGCTGGATTTACGAAGGCCAGGACCTTCTTGCTGATACCTTTTTAGAGTCTGTGCCAGGTGTGAGGTGGGAGTCTGTTCACCCGGTTGAGTTTGCAAAGAACCATGCAGCTACAGACCAACACGTGTTGATTTGTTGACAAGGTACCTTCCAAGCAGCATCGAGCCGATTGGCCAAGCCCTTTGTCTTTTGTCAGCGAGACACACACACAGAAGACTTATATAAATGATGGTGCTGTAACCACAGCTTTTGTGCAAACATGACGTGGTTCACAGGTGCTGCTGGCTTTGGGGCGGCTGTTCTTGCAAGAACCCCAATATTTCACTGAGCTGTCCTAGCCGCTGCTAGCTACCAGTATTGCTGCTGAGGGATGCACGATGGCAGGGGCGTGGGTACTTGCACTGCACTCAAAGCTTGTCTTGTTTCATGATGAAACCAGGGGGAAAGCTTTGCAGATGAGTGCAACTTTTTCTATCAATACGACCTGGATAATTTGCAACGCCCAACTTTACACCCCAAGCCTGACGATTCATTTGGGCTGTGCTTTGCCAACAGTCACCTCTTCAATTTTGCTGAGTGGAGACGCACAGAAGCACGGCCTTCCAGCAAAAGCATCCCAACAATCAATTATGCCACAGAAGGCACCGGTGCTTATTTGACAAACTTAAAGGCAAGCAAAACAGTCTGGAAATCAAGACAGAATATGGTCCAAAGACAAACCACAAGCATTGAGGCGTCAGATGATGCTGGGTCCGTTGTGGTGGGGAGTTATACAGGTGATGTCTTGGGGAAGTGCACTTCGGAATCTTCAGTTCCTTTGTCTGCTCTGCTGTTGATCCTGTCAAGCCACAGTGCCAAAGGCTGCCAAAGCAGATTGGCGTCCTACTTCCTCCTGCACCTGCCTTTGCTGCCATGGCTTTGCCCTTGAGTTCGCTCCAGAGAGGGTTCACTCTGCAGGTTCTCGAGACGCAAAGCTCCTCTGCAGGTCTGCAGGGCTCGTCCAAAGTTGTGGGCGCTGGATCAAACACGACGGAGAAGATTTGCTCTTATAAGTATATACTGTATAAGTCTTATAGTTGGAGGCCATCGCTATTAGGTTGGAGGCCATCGCAAGTAGGTTGGAGGCCATCGCTACTAGGAACAAGGAAGCTACTAGCAACAAAGGGCATCGCTATTTCACAGTTTTAACGTATGCAAACAACCAGCACTTTGTTGTTCGAGTCTCGAAAGTCGAGTCTGAGATGGTTGTCAGCTTGCTGAATTGCTTTATGCACGCAAACACCTTCATCAAGCGATCATTCTACGGGATTCTATCAGAGACTTGCCATCAGAGGAATTTTGAATAATAGATTGAAATCGCTATGACTGCCGACCATGATGATGTCTTGCTTGGGTTGCTTCCGGTATCGATTGGGTAACGGAGCAAGTCAAGTCACTACATGCGCTATAGATGATATTCCAAGCGCATTTATGAGCGCGTCACATCTGATGGGCGTGTCATCGCCGCATCACCTTGACGTAAAGCTGGAAATCTTCCACTCACATTCTTTACAGCGCCATCTACAGTTTGTTGGTTTCGGTATTAGGCACGGACCGGAAATTATTTTATATATCTAGATTTAAGACTCTTCCATCCATGCAGTAAGGCAGTGGCCTTATTGAGCAGTGCGACCAGCCTGAAAGGCGATTGCAATGCAAAGGTCAAACGCCGTAGTTTTTCTTCTCAACATGTCCTTGATCTTTTCTTGCTTTTTGGACAGGCTGGGGAAGACATGGAAGACACCTTGGTGGACTTGCAATGGCACTGCTCGCTGCTGTCCATTCTTGCGAGTGGTATTTGCAGGCACCTATAAAATTTCAAGGTCTAAATCAAGGGGTGTAACTTTGGAGGTGCATGGCATGCATTTGCAATTTGACTTCATACTGTCATGGCAAACCAATGCCCATTTAAGAGTTTTGACCTGCTTTTGGCTTATAGGTCAGGAAGCAGCAAGATTGACCAAGCTTTTGCGCACAAATATACAGTGCGTAGTGCATGCAGTAGATGTACAGTATATACACATATAGTATGTTACGAAAGCCAGCCGAAGCCAAGTATACCGTTAAGACCGTGTTGATGATGCGAGTGATGCTGTACAAGTTGGACTTGCATTTTTGCATCATCAACTCTCTGGCCCTAATCAGAAACCATACTCGTTAGTTGGACCGCATACCGACCTAGGTATACATTTCAGGTGTGTATATATATATACACATGCATACATTTCTGTATGTATATTAAAAAAGATATATCTATACATATATATATATGGTACACCCCCCAAAACCTACCTTTTAGACAAGTTCATGTTTGGAGATGATAGTCTATCAATTGAAAGGGGAATATATATATATATATACATGTCAGAAAAGGACGTTATGCGGGTGTGTGTTTTCCAGTGTTCTCGAAAATGCATGTTTTAGGACTTTGTATGTTGAATGTGTTCTCACGTTGAGGACGAGACCTCGTAGTTGTTGGTAGGTGCTCGTTGTCTGCTCGTGAGTAGTAGTCTTCCTAGTTCACGGGATCTGAGGGGGGGGGGTCGGCAAAAAAAGGTTTGCTTTTTGGTGGTATCCAATTTTTTTTGTGGCCGATCCCCCCCCCCGAGGAGGTACTAGCTGCGGGTCATCAAGCTCCCACAGGTCACAGGGTGAATGGCATGAAGCTCCCACAGCTCACCGCACAGGTCAAAGGGTGAGTTGTATTACCATCACAGCTGTCATTAGCATTGCCATTGCTACAGGTCACCGAGTGTGTGTGGCCTCAACCTCCCACAGGTCACAGGGTGACTGGCATCAAGGTCCCACAACTCACCGGGTGAATGGCATTATCATCACCATTGCACTTGCATTGCCATCACCATTTGCACTACCATTGCCGCAGGAATTGGCATTGCCATTGTGATCCCTATTGCCACAGGTTGAGGGTGAACGGCATGAAGCTCCCACTCTCACAGGTCACAGGGTGCATAGCTCACAGGGAAATTGCGTTATGGTGAATGGCATCAACGTCCCACATACCACTGCCACAGGTCAAGGGTGAATGACCATTACCAGTACCATTAGCATTGCCATGAGCACTACCATTGCTATTAGCATCAGCATCAAGCTCCCACAGGTCACAGGGAAAATGCATCATGGTGAATAGCATCAAGGTCCCACATAGCATTGCCGCAGCTCAAGGGTGAATGGCCATTAGCAGTACTAGTTGCATTGCCATGAGCATTTCCATTGCTATGAGCATCAGCATTAGCATTGTCATTAGCATTCCCAGCGCCATAAGCATTAGCATTAGCATTAGCATCAAGCTCATACAGGGGATGTTTCCATTAGCATGGTGAATGGCATCAAGCTCCCACAGCTCACAGGGTGAATGGCATCCCATCACCTTTGCCATTAGCATTTCTATTGCCATTAGCATCACCACATAAACAACCATCATCAGCATGCATTAGCAGCACCATTACAACTGGCAATTCCATTTGGATTCCCAGTACCACAACTCAAGGGTAAATGGAATCAAGCTGCCACAGGTCACAATGCGCATATAGGTGCGTAGCTTCCACAGGTCAAATGGTGCATGGCACTCCATAACCATTGTCATGAGCACAACCATTGCCATTAGTATTGCCACACGCCACAAGGTGAATAGCCATTGCCACCGCTATTGGCATCAGCGTCAGCATTGCCATTCACATTGCCAGTGCCATAAGCATCAAATTAATACTATTGGTGGCAATCAGGTTTATATTGCTAGCATTCAGGTTTGGAAGCTTTCTGGAAAAAACTGCCCCGCTACCACATGCAATACTGGCTGGCGTGGCAAAGATTCAGTCTTTGAGTGAGCATTTTCATTGTTTGAAAGAACCCACACTCCTTCCAGTGAAGGAGTTGAATCACTTTTTGAGCCACAGGCCAGTGGGAAAATTGCGTTATGGTGAATGGCATCAACGTCCCACATACCACTGCCACAGGTCAAGGGTGAATGGCCATCACCAGTACCATAAGCATTGCCATGGGCACTACCATTGCTATTAGCACCAGCATCAAGCTTCCACAGGTCACAGGGAAAGTTGCATTATGGTGAATGGCATCAAGGTCCCACATAGCATTGCCACGGGTCAAGGGTGAATGGCCATTAGCAGTACTATTTGCATTGCCATGAGCATTACCATTGTTCTGAAATCTCACCAAATCATTGCAAATACCAGAGAAATTGTTTAAAAGGTAGGTCTTGGGGGGAGTGTAGCATATATATATATGTATATTTATATACATACACACACACACTATTTATGAGCACCTGTTGGCACGGAGAAAGGACGAGCAAACACATACGCACTATTTGGCAACTTAGTAGATGCCTTTCTGGCTTGTCATTACTGCACATTGACATGAATGTAGCCTCAGGAGCAAAGGCGCCACCATATGAAGCAGATAGCAAGTCAAGTTTCGGACAGGCATTGTCTCTTCGTCAAGTACTGAAAAAACTGGAGGCCAGATCCACCCACAGGAGCATCATTTGTGCATTGAGTGGGCTGCGTTCTGCGACAGGCTGCCTCGGAAGCTCGAGTTCTGCTACTGGATTTGGTCCTTCCGTTTCCAGGTGAAAGAAGCTGGAAGCTGCAGTTAGGGACAACCCGCTTTTGAAAGCACACATCAGCATGTCGGTCAGGCGTGAAAGATGATGGATTTCGAGCTGAGATAGCCGGAGTGCTGTACAGGCCTCGACATGCCCTTGACTGTGGATGTTCAACGTTCGTCTTGTGTCTTGCAGGCACAATGCAGGTTTGAAACTCAGGGCCATGATCATGATCAGTTTACTTTGCTCTTATTGTTGAGTTCAACAAGGATTCAAACAGCCCAGACTCAACACACCCGCAATCTTCACGCTACTCTCTTTGAGTGCCTTGCACTAGTGTCTTTGCCAATCCGCAGTATCCGGATGGAATAAGAGCATTGGAAGCTGCAACTCAAAGCAAGCTGCAGCCGAAGAGTGACACATGTAGTCCTGTTGAGGCGAGGCAGCCCTTTCTGCGGCCCAAAGAAGGTTTGGGCGCGGGAGTCTTTTGCTAATGATACAAAACAGTTTGCCAATAACATCTTGTCGGCTTCAACAATAAGGAACCTTTTGCTTCCTGTGAGCAGCATGAAGTCTGATCAGTTCCTCCTTGGCAAATACATAGCACAGGACCAGATTGAACTTTATGCCCTATGCACCTTCGACACGGTGGTCTTAGAGTGTTGCCTCTATGACTTCGCTGAGGTAAAACCGGGGCCCTGCAAACTGTTGCTCGTGAAGATATTCTACAGTATATATATGTAGTTATCTTTATTTTGGGCCTGCAGTTTTGACAATCCATTGGCTATAGATAGATGGTTGAAGGGTATGCGGTCCAACACTAGTGAAAGTATGCGATGAGTTGAATTGCTGAGAGCCTATCAAGTTTCACACGTCCTTTACTGGCTGCAGTGCAGGGTGTTGGGAATGTGCCGCCAGGCTGCAATATCCAGCAGCACATGCGCTTCGCGGATTACGGGATGATCGGGCAGCAGGACCAAAGCTTGCGAGCGGCTATGGATAGGCTAGCTCTATGGTTCCCAGGGTGGGAACAGTTACTCGAAGAAATCCACTTGTGCCGAGTCGAGTGCCAAGGACTTCTTCGAGACGAGACTTTGGAGAGCCAATTCTGCCTTGGGGCGATGACGCGAGAGCTCGTTCAAGATCTTGGCCTCGTCGGCTCCACAAAGAAAGCTAGCAGGCAGGAAGAGCTTGTGAGAGTGTAGATTTGGACAAACGACAAATGTCTACAGCATGATTCTAGGCCGCTGCTTTCAATGGGTTGCGCCCATCTTCAACGCCCAATGCATTTGAAGAACAGAAACAAATAGTGCTGGTTTCGTCTCGCACTTGCCAAGTACCACTTCACAGACTCTTCAAAGGTGTTCTGAATACTTCTGATTGCTTTGCTCAAGATACAGTAAAGCTTTTGAATGGGCTCATGCTTTTCAGATGCCTTGGATAGTCCGCAGCAGTGCCATTGATGCGAGGCAGTTTCATGATAAACTTGGTGCATCGATAGCTTGAACCCAAGGCGAGTCATGAGGTACACATCAACACGCACAAGAACATCACGCTCCATGAAACTACATATATATATATATATATTCATTATATTTATTCGGCCAGCCATGATTGGAACCTACAGCTTGCAGTTGTCGCAAGCATCATTATCTCATAGAACCACACACGCACACACACACACACACTGGGGAATGGGTTAGGAAGTTGAAGCTTTAGAGCGATGTTAAAGTCCAAAACCTCCTAAGTGTCCTCGAAAAAGGCAGTTCAATCCAGCAGGAAACATTACGACACCGCCGATCGACACAGTAGTTCGCTGCAAAACACCGTACTAGACAGCTTGAAAATTACTTCCACTTCCAAAAATTGAGCAGGTACACAGTCAGACGTCTCTGACGGCTTCCGATGACATCACTAGCTTCGTTGGCCAGCGTCGTGATGCCATGCGCTGG